ATCATCCGCAGCATCATCATCATCATCATCAGCATTATCAACATCATCATCCGCATCATCATCATCATCGTCATCATCATCCTCACACACACACACTCTCTCACACACACACACACACAGACACACACTTACACACACTCATACACACTTACACACACTTACACACACTTACACACACTTACACACACACACACACACACACACACACACACAGCTCCGCCCTTCCCTGAGATCCGACGAAGCAGAACAAATAAAACATCGTAGGAAATTACGGCCAGAGCCCCTGTCGCCATCTTTCTGCGCCATTTTTCGAGCCGGATCGATCTGCGAGGGTCCCAGGGCCCGACGTTGCGCGAAAAAACGCCTGGCCCAAAAAAAGAACGACGGCAGGTTCTCAGGGTTCCGTCCTCCGCGACCTTCGGGGGCAAGGCGGATCGGCCGGTCGGGCAAGCTGGGCTGAGCCGCCCGCAACGTCATCGCACTTCGGAGGTAGCCAAACCTCCCTTGAATAAACCACGGACCGAAACCGACGGACCTAGACCCGCAGAACCAACTGCCGCGACGCCCTCTCGCGAACCGAAAACGGCCAATTCGCTAATCGACGTGTCAAGGTAAGAGATCTATCAACCTCCGAGTGCTGCCGCAAGGAAGGCTGAGGCTGAGCGCAGAACGACGGGGCTCTCCTAGCAACGGCCAGCCTCGGCGGCAAGCAAGCTCCCCGATCCAGATCGAAGGAACGGCCCGAAAACCATCATCATCGTCCCCGATCCAGATCTAAGGAACGGCCCGAAAACCATCACCATCATCATCATCATCATCATCATCATCAGAATCATCAGCATCATCATCATCATCAGCATCATCGTCCTCGTCAACATGATCATCATCAGCAGCATCATCATCAGAATCAGCATCATCAGCATCATCATCATCATCATCATCATCCCCGTCATCAGCATCAGCATCAGCATCATCATCAGCATCATCATCAGCATCCGCATCATCCTCATCATCATCATCATCATCATCAACATCATCATCATCATCAGCATCATCATCCTCAGCATCAGCGTCAGCAGCATCATCATCATCATCAGCATCTTCAGCATCATGATCCTCATCCTCATCATCACCATCATCAGCAGCAGCATCATCAGCATCCTCATCACCATCATCATCATAATCATCATCATCATTAGCAGCAGCCACAGCATCAGCATCATCATCAGCATCATCAGCAGCATCATCATCAGCATCATCAGCATCATCATCCGCATCATCAGCATCAGCATCATCATCATCCGCAGCATCATCATCAGCAGAATCAGCATCATCATCATCCGCATCATCATCATCATCATCATCATCATCCTCATCCTCAGCATAAGCATCAGCAACATCATCATCATCATCACCATCCGCATCAACATCATCAGGATCCTCATCCTCATCCTCATCCTCATCCTCATCACCATGATCATCACCATCATCATCACCATCATGATCAGCAGCAGCCGCAGCATCAGCATCATCAGCATCATGATCATCATCAGCATCATCAGCATCATCAGCATCATCAATACCATCAGCATCATCATCAGCATCATCATCAGCACCATCATCCGCATCATCATCATCATCATCGTCATTATTGTTCTTATCCTCAGCTTCATCATCATCAGCATGACAAGCATCATGACCCTCATCATCATCATCATCATCATCAACATCATCATCACCAGCAACAGCAGCATCACCAACCTCATCACCATCATCATCACCATCATCAGCATCGTCAGCATCATCATTATCAGAAGCAGCCGCTGCATCAGCAGCATCAGCATCATCAACATCAGCATCATCAGAATCATCATCAGCATAATCATCATCCGCATCCTCATCACCATCATCATCATCAGCATCATCATCTGCATGATCATCATCATCATCATCATCATCATCATCATCCTCATCATTATCCTCATTCTCATCCTCAGCATCATCATCATCATCAGCAGCAGCATCACCGTCATCGTCATCATCATCATCAGCATCAGCATCAGCAGCAGCATCATCATCAGAATCAGCAGCATCATCATCATCATCAGCATCATCATCATCATCATGTTCATCATCATCATTATCATCATCATCAGCATCATCAGCATCATCATCATCATCACCATCACCAGCATCAGCATCAGCATCAGCATCATCATCAACACCATCATCAGCATCCGCATCATCCTCATCATCAGCATCCTCATCATCATCACCATTATCATCATCATCAACATCATCATCATCATCAGCATCATCATCCTCAGCATCAGCGTCAGCAACATCATCATCATCATCGTCATCATCAGCATCATCAACATTATGATCGTCATCATCATCATCACCATCATCAGCAGCAGCATCATCAGCATCCTCATCACCATCATCATCATGATCTTCATCACCATCATTAGCAACAGCCACAGCATCAGCATCATCATCAGCATCATCAGCAGCATCATCATCATCAGCATCATCAGCATCATCATCATGATCATCATCATCATCCTCATCATCATCAGCATCATCATCATCATGATCATCATCATCATCATCATCATCATCGTCATCATCATCATCATCATCACCATCATCATCATCATCATCGTCGAAGTTCGTCGTCGTCGAAGTTCGTCGTCGTCGAAGTTCGTCGCCGTCGAAGTTCTTCGTCGTCAAAGTTCGTCGTCGCCGAAGTTCGTCGTCGTCGTCGTCGTCGTCGCCGTCGTCGTCGTCGTCGTCGTCGTCGTCGTCGTCGTCGACGTCGTCGTCGTCGTCGTCGTCGTCGTCGTCGTGGTCGTCGTCGTCGTCGTCAAAGTTTTTCGTCGTCGAAAGTTCGTCGTCGTCGAAGTTCGTCGTCGTCGAAGTTCGGCGTCGTCGAAGTTTGTCGTCGTCGAAGTTCGTCGTCGTCGAAGTTCGTCGTCGTCAAAGTTCGTCGTCGTCGAAGTTCGTCGTCGTCGAAGTTTTTCGTCGTCGAAAGTTCGTCGTCGTCGAAGTTCGTCGTCGTCGAAGTTCGGCGTCGTCGAAGTTCGTCGTCGTCGAGGTTCGTCGTCGTCGAATTTCGTCGTCGTCGAAGTTTTTCGTCGTCGAAAGTTCGTCGTCGTCGTCGTCGTCGTCGTCGTCGAAGTTCGGCGTCGTCGAAGTTCGTCGTCGTCGAAGTTCGTCGTCGTCGTCGTCGTCGAACTTTGTCGTCGTCGAAGTTTGTCGTCGTCGAAGTTCGTCGTCGTCGTCGTCGTCGTCGTCGTCGTCGTCGTCGTCGTCGTCGTCGTCGGAACCCTTGCTTTTTCCTTTTCACCCCTCCAGCACAAAGACAACCACACCACAACGCCCCGGCACCCAGGCAATCCGCTTATCCATCAAGTTTTTCAAGGCCCTGATAACAGCCTGCCTCTGCTTCCTGTTGCCCACGTCAATATAAAAAGAACCACTATGCCTCACTAGCCACGCCCTTTGATACACAGTTAACATGCTCCAATCCAAATTATGATTCGCCAACAAATCCCTCCACAAAAAAAAAAAATCGCCCTCACCAACGCCGCGTCCGCCTCCAGTAGCATAAATAATTCCGACTTCCGAACCGTCCTCCCCGTAGCCCGTGCACTTCTAGAAAAATCAGTATCCAAATCCTTTCCATGAACTGCTAATGTGAAGTGGCAAAAATCACATGGAGATATTTGAAAGTTGCACAGCCAATGCCTCACACCAAATTTAGCCGCAACCTCCGATTGAAAATTACGAAGCACACCCAAAACTTGCCGCTGACACTTTCTGGAAGACGGTTTCCCCAACAACCCAGCAAACAAATAACGCGGCGCAGGCCCAATAAAAGCGTAGCCCTCCGCTAAAATATCGACGACTGCCTTCTCCGCGCCCCCCACAACCCCCTGAACCAAAACGCACATCAACGAGCTGAACACAAACTTCCCCCAGTAGCAATGAATTTCGTCCTCCAGGCAACTCTTCTTTCGCCGAGGCCGCCCCAGAAGTGGCACGTCGAGGATACGCCCCATGACGGCTTCGCAGGCACCCCGAGCAGCTCCCACACCTTCACCAACCGCCCTCTCCAGCGCACGAAAATCAACTGATAAAAGAACCGCAACCTCCACCCATAATTGCTGCACCGCCACAAAACTATCCCACCACCGACTCCCACGCGCCACAAAGTCAAAGTCAGGAATACATAGGCGACACCCATCTTGAGCATTAAACCAAACTTTCGCCGCGCTCCGAGTCAATCCATAAAATTTGAAATAATCAACCAATACAGAACCGTACTCAGCCAGACCACCACGAACGTATAAAATCAGAGAAAACCAAATGTCATTACCCTCCGCTAAGCAACCCTTCTCAATAACTGTCTCAACAAACGCAGGAGTACCAATATAATACGTAATAAAAATCAAATGAATAAATACTTGCAAAAACCGCGCCCTGAATCCATCCATACCACCACTTCCCACAGGGGCCCCACCATTGTTCACCGCAGCCCATAACTTTGCGTAAAGACCAAGCAAATAAGGTACACGTGACCGCCGACGGGCGCCCAAGCTTTTCTGGACGCGTGCGAAATAATTCTCCTCCGTCGGAGTAAGCGCCCGCACGCCGTCGCGCCACCAAGCGGCAACCGCCTCCGTCACTTTAAGAAAACCACCTTCCCGAACCACGCACCAACCAAGAAAAACCATGAAACTTGAAAACAAAGCACGACCATCTCCAGATAAACCCTTGAAATATTTCCCCCCCAATCCATTGATCCATGCCCCAACGTCGCCCCCAGCAGCGCCCGAAAAAAACAAAAAACGATCGCGCGAAAAATCGATAACAGCATCCCGCGGCGGACGCGGGACGCGCACGACATGCTCCCGAAACGATTCCATCGTTATAGCTGACGGCAACTCACCCGCGCCATCGCCAACAGAACCTCCATCGCCGGCCCACTCCACCTCCATCTCTTCCACGTCCACCAAGCCCTCACCTCCATCAGCGTCCACGCCCTCGGACTCCACATCCCCCTCCCCGTCCGACGATTCCGACTCTGCACCTGACGCCATGCCGCTCGGTTCACCACTCCTCGCCCGCACCAGCCGCCCCCCGCCAGGATTCCCCACGGGCGCCCCTCGCTTCCGGCGTCCGCCACCGTGCCTTGAGCGAGCAGTGGAGCGTCCTAAGTCCTGTGCTTTGCTTTCTCACCCTTTCGTCGTCCCGACGCTCCCAGACAGACCAAGAGGCCCCCAAGACCGCCCCAAGACGGCCCAAGAGGCCCCCAAGACACCCCCAGGAGGGCACAAGACAAGCCCAAGACGGCCCAGGAGGCCCCCTAGACGGCCCGAGAAAACTCCAAGACGACACCAAGAGAGGCACAAGAGTGCGACCAAAAATTCCCCCCAACAAAAAAAAAAAAAAAAAAAAAAAAAAAAAAAAAAAAAAAAAAAACGCTCCCAGGAACCCCAGGAAGGCCCCAAGAGTGCCCGAAGAAGCCTCCCAAAAGCCCCCAAGAAGCCCCCAAGACGCCCCAACAAGCCCCGAAGAGGCCCCCAGGACACAAAGCCCCCCGGAAGCCCCAAAACAGCCCCAAAGAAGCTTCAAAACTGCCTCCCAAGGAGGCCCCCGACAATCGCGCCACGAGATCCCGACACACATACAAGAAGCCTCTAACCCATAACCGCGGCCAGTGGCGGGATAGGCCGAAAGCCACTAGATACCAATTCATACCACGGCCCTTCCCGGCGCTGAGCAGCGTGGGTCATGCCAACCGCCAACCCATCATTGATGCCAGCACCGCCCAACTCCCTAGCCGAACGTAAACTCCCCTCCTCCTCCGGCGAGACGGCGCTGTGGCACACGGCCTCCAGCTCCGCCCGCTCACCAGTCAACCGTACGAAAAAAATCCGCACCAGATGACCGGAGGCGGGAGGTGGAAACATTACTTGAACCAAAGCCTTGGAACAAACACTACGGAAACAACCCTGACCCCCGCCCCGACCCTCAGAGACACAGACTACATAGAAACACCCAGCTCCTCACGTCCCCCACCTCCTCCTCCTCCTCCTCCTCCCCCTCCTCCTCCGCCTCCTCCTCCTCCTCCCCCTCCTCCTCCTCCTCCTCCTCCTCCTCCTCATCCTCCTCCTCCTCCTCCTCCTTCTCCTCCTCCTCCTCCTGAGTGTGAGTAGGTCCAAGGGTGAGGTGCCAACAGAGCGCATTGATGAGCAGAGGCCAAGGCGAGGCTGTCAGAGAAACGAACGTGGTCAGCACACCCCTCCAGTGGATCGCGCCTCCGGGGGTTGCACATCCACCGACCCCACACGTATGGGGCCAAGGGGGGCTCCGAATCCGCCATCCCCACATCTCAAGCGTCAGGCGCGCGCCTCCAGACCCCCTCGTGCGGGGTCACCGGCGCATTCTCATCGTCCTCTTCCTCCTCCAGTTCCTTCTCCTCCTCCTCCTCCTCCTCCTCGCTCGTCTCCCTCGTCCTCGTCGTCGTCGTCGTCCTCCTCCTCCTCCTCCACCTCCTCCTCCTCCCCGTCCTTTTCCCCCCCCTGTCTTGTCGAGTCACGGCGGAAATCCCCAGTAGGGGTTTTATTTTCCATTCCAGCCGCGCGCAGCGGTGGCGACGAGAGAAGGGAAGGGACAGAGGGGCAGGCGGGTCCCCCGCAAAGGGCTAGAGGGGCCTCGCGGGCCGTCTTGGGACATCGGGAAGCGGAAAAGGTGGAAACGCCAAAACCTGTCCAGAACCTGGCTCCGCGCCAGCCTGCAGGCCCCCTCACTCTTATCCGCAAGTGCGGGGTGCTCCGTATTTGAAAACCTCCCCACGTAAACCGGCCAAACAACTCCGAATGCAGATGCCGATGCCTCGCGGAGGTGCATTGATGTAACATCTGTAACGATCCGTCGGCCCCTTGGGGGTCCTTGGCATGCGAAATAAACGCCCCTCCCGAAACGTCCACCCTGGTGCCTCTCTGCACCGAGTGGACGTGCCCTACAGTCATTTGGCCAATCCCCAAACCATCTCTGACCCAGTCGAACTACTACGCTCTCAAAGTGCAGATCGAGCTACGGTACTGTTACAAACGCGAATCAGGCTGGTGATCGGACGACGCCGTACACACGCTCACAGGGCCTGCAGTTCTGCAAGTACAAATCTAGGGAACTACTCTCCCACCATAGGGGAGCGTGCGAAGTCCCTGTGTGCCGGACGGGGTGAAACAAAGGCGTGCCGCACACGGCGCACTTGTGGCGGCGGCGGTCACATACAGCGCACAGCAGCCACACCCGGCGGCAACCACGCAACGCGTATAGATGGATAGCCGCGGAAACCACACCCGGCGGCAGCCACGTAAAAGTACAGACACCAACCACGGCAGCAGCCGACATGTGCCCGTGCTCGTAAAGTGCTTCATTGTCGTACATGATGGTCACATCTGTGTGCTCCAGGAGGGAACGCACGCAGAGCACCGTGTTGTAAGGCTCTACCACTGCGGTGGCGACCTGCGAGCACGCCCACACGGTGAATGAACACTTCGTCTTCTTCCCGTAGTCCACGGACAGGCGCTCCAGCATCAAGCAGCCGAGCCCGGCGCCAGTACCTCCGCCGACAGCATTGTAGATAATAAACCCTGGAGGCCGGTGCAGTTGTCGGCCAGCTTCCTGATCCGATCGAGCACGAGGTCGACGATCTCCTTGCCGATCGTGTAGTGCCCGCGCGCGAAATTGTTCGCGGCATCCTCCATACCAGAGATAAGCTGCTCAGGATGGAACAACTGACGGTAAGTGCCTGTGCGTACCTCATCGACCACAGTGGGCTCCAGGTCGACGAATACACAGCGGGGGACATGCTTGCCGGCACCGGTCTCGGAGAAGGACGTGTTGAAGGCATCGTCGCCACCTCCAATTGTCTTTTCGGAGGGCATCTGGCCGTCAGGCTAGATGCCGTGCTCGAGGCAGAAGAGTTGTGCGGGGCGCTCAAAGGCCAGGGACTGGCCGCCCAGGGCCAACTGTACAGTCCCCAGAGCCACCGTACGAAACGCCAATACTGTACGCGGCAAAAGCTGACGAGGCGCATATGGCCTCGGAGAGGGCGCGCACGCTCGACTGACCACGCGAGCCAGCCTCCCGTGCATGGAATTACGGGCCGCTGCCCCACCACGCCCTCGGCACGCCCAGGCCACAACCCGGCACACGCACGAGGCGATGTACACCCACATCGGCCACGCCGATGCACAGACTGGAATTGCATACGGGAGCTCCTCAACTAAAAAGTTGAACCAACGAAAGTTGGTGGGGGCCAACAGAGGGCCTACGGATGCCGACAGCGCCCGCAATTATCATAGCACGGGTTCCACTCCGACACGACCCCCCCAAAGAAGTCCGCAAACTGCTGCTCCAACCGGCTCTGCACGTCCACGTGCTCCATCTCAGGCTTCAACACCCCGAGATCACGAGGCGCCTCCGGTCCGAGACGCCGATCTCGCACACCGCGCCTGCCCCGTTCCCGCGCCCCCCACGCAGCCTCATCGAGCGGCGGCGCAGAGACCACCCGGCACCGCGCGTCGACCTCCTGCACCGCCTCACCGCCCATCGCCAGCAGGGATCCGTCCTGCACGAGCGCATCCAGGAGGTCCTGCACCCTCGCCGCCGACAGCCGCGCGCCCTCGCCGCTGCCCTGTTGGTCCGAGCCCTCACTCTCCGCACTCGCCGACTCCGCCCCGCTCGCCACCGGCGCACCCGCCCCCGCCAGGCCCACCTCCGACGCAGACACGCGACCGAGCACCGCCGCCAGCTCCTCGCGAACCTCCTCCGACGACATCTCCCCCATGGCTTCCCACTCCGCGGCCCCTCCCTCGCGCCACAACCAGCGCAGCACTGCGCGAAGGTCTTCTTCAGACGTACTCGGCGCCATGTCGCCCTCCCCGTCCACGTCCGCCATGACACGACCCACCTGCGGCGACGGCAGGCCGACGCTGAAACCGCGGGCATGCAGGTTGCCCCCGCCGCCCGTCTCCCAGCGAGCCATAGCCATATACGGGAAACGGTCCGAGTGCGGCACCACGGCCGGCATGACGACGCGCATGTGCAGCTCCACTCGCACAGCGACGAGCTGCGCCACGAGGTCCCCGCTCTCCCGAACGAACTCCGCGCGCCCGCGCCTGGAGCCCTCGTCGAACTCGCTCAAGGAGATGCCCTTGGCGTCGAAGCGCTGCACGTCGAACGCGGCGTGGTAGTGGGGATTCTGCGTCCACCACAAAGACGGGAAGCGCCCCAGCCCCACAGGATCAGGTACCAACCCCCGCGTCCACTCCCGCCGACCCCCCGCTCGCTCCACCTGGAACTTCTCCATGAAGCACTGCCCCACCGGAGGTCGCCCGTCGAGGTCCTCGGCCTCCACCCAGGGCGGCATCCACGACAAGTGCTTCACCGCGGCCTGCAACTTCATCCCCTCCCACGCCCACTGCATGGTCGTGGAGCGCACGTCCCTGCCCACTGTAGACAGCTGGCCCACCAGGATCCTCGCCCTCCCCTCGTCTGCCAGAATCGCACGCAGACGCCCCTTGGTCAAGATGCGGCCCGCCTCCAGCATGCCGAACGCCCCGCGCCGCACCGTGTTCCGGTAAATGCCCCACCCCTTCGATCGCGCCTCGGACAGCAGCAGCATGTTCACCATCGCCCAGAGTACGCGCTGCCCCCGCGGCCCGCCCACAAACTGACCCGTGCGATACCGTATCAAGTGCTGAACCCACTCCGCCGCCGTGACCTTCCGAGGGCGCTCCTGGTAGATGTCCCCGATGCCCATCGGGAACTCCAGGGGGAAAGCCTTCACGAAACGGCCCTCGCTGAAAGGGCCCGTCGGCTCAGACGCCTTGCTCGGCCACCCGTACACCAGCCGCTCCGCCGTACGCAGGCACTCGTCCTCCTCGTCCTCGCCACTGACGTGCTGCTCCACCCCGCCGGTGTCCGTGTCCTGGGCGCAGGCCCTCCAGCCGGCCGCGATCCCTACCTCGAAGCGCACATCGTCCAACACAGCCTCCGGATCCACGCCCGCGCCCCCGTGCAGCACGATCTCTCCCGCTCGGCACCGCAACCAATCCACCAGATCCATCACGTGCACCACGTCGCCCGCCGTACCTCCCGCGCCACGAGCACCCCCAGCGCCGCCGACAATGCCGCTGCCAGCCCGGGGCCCGCGTCCCGCGAAATAATCCGTGGACGAGGAGAGGGAGGAAAGAGGACCAGGAGAACTTGACCATTATTTGATTCTCCCCCCCACACCCCCACGGTCACAACGCCCTCCCGGAGCTCCGACACCACCCTGGCGAAGAGATCCACGACCGTCTCGTCATCCCCCGCCTTCAGCGCCTCCAGGTCACCCTCCGCGCCCAAAGGCAACTCCACCCACCAGGACCGAACCCGCGCACCAACGGGAAAATCTGAGCTCCCCAGCCACAGCGTGAACGTCTCGGCGTCCACGAAAGACTCCGGCTCCGCATCCCGCTCCTGGCCCAGGCCGCCCAAGTCGGTCTTGGCCTCCTCGCCCCCACCGCCGCCACCTGCATCACCCTCGCCCGTGTTCTCGCCGGCGGCCGGGCCCGCATCACCATCATCACCTTGTTCACCATCCCCGCCACGCGTCTCGCAGCCCGCAACCCCAACGCCCCGCGCACCAGCATCGTCATCGGGCCCCACAAAGCGCAATGAGAAGCCGGCTGCCATGAACTGCTCGGGCGTCTCCAGATCCACAGCCTGGTCCTGCGCCTCCCGCTCCGTCAGTCGCGCCTCTTCCGCCGGCGACAGCAGCGCCCCTCCCGCCATCTTGGGCGCGTACTCCGCGCGCAGCTCCTCCACCGTCATCACGTGGAACCGCCGCCGATCGAAGTACTTGTGCATGGGCCCCCGCTCGCTGGCCCCGTCGAGGCGCCACGGCCCGGCCCCCAGGGCCGCGCACGCGCACAGCGCCTGCAGCACGTTAGCCACGAAGCGCCAGCGCACCCTGAGGCCCTCCAGCACACCGCGCCTCCCACCCACGTTCCGGCGCAGCATGAGATGCAAGGGCACGTGCTTCGGCTGCCATGGCATCTGCACGCGCGGACGCACATTCTCCTGGCGCTCCAACCCCTCGCCCCCCGAGTCGTACTCCACCACCAAAACGCCGTCCGGCCGCACCTCCCTGATGACCCCCGGGTAAATGACGCACCCCGCCTCGTCCATCACGTGCTCCGCGCGCTCCTGCTCCGTCACCTCCCCCCAGCGCCTGGCCGGCCTGTCCGGGTTCTCCGCCCCGCCCCACGGCCCGCGGACGGAGTCCACGCGGTCCCTCGGCCGGTACTGCTTCAGCAGCCCGCGCCGCATCGCGAAGCCCGCGATGTCCTGCGGAAAGGACAGCACGTTCCTCCGGAACTTCCGCAGGCCAGACAGCGCCACCGTGACGTAGTTGACCTGCCTGTGCTCCAGCGCCAACAGCATCGCCTCCGTCACGGTCGCCGCGTCGAAGAGCTCCTGGAGGTCATCCCACGGAAACCGGAAGCACGGATCCATGTGATTCTCCTCCGAGCGCAGGGCGACGATCACCGACGCCGGAGCCGGCTCCGCCCCCGCCCCTCCACCACCCGCGCCGTCGCCCTCCTCGCCGCCATGCTCCGCGGCCTGCTCGGCGGCCCGGCGCGACGCGCGCTCCATCGCGGCGAGCTGGGAATCCACGTCCGCCTGACACCGCACGCACGTCCTGGAGAACCGCCCCGCGAAGTCACAGCCGCCCCCCTTCCACGCCTCTCCGCCCGCCATCGACTCGGGCGACGGCGGGAACTCCGCCCATGACGCCACGGCCATGCAGCACGTCGCCACGCCGTTCTTCCCCGCCCTCAGCACCTCCATCTTCTCCGCGATCTCCGGCGGCGGCTCATAGGCAGGGTGAAACGCCGGGAAGCGTTCCTTGCAGTCCCTGCACTCGAATAGCACCATGCGACTCATGATCGTGTGCATGGCCTGCACCGCCCGCAGCGAAGCCTCCCTCAACTGCGCGTCGTACTTCACCGCGCGCACCGGCACCCTCTTCGCGGGCACGGGCACGTAGCCGTCCTGCAACCACCTCCGCCGCTCCGCCTCCTCCTTGCTCGCGGCACGCCAAGCACCCTTGGCGCCCGGAACGCGCAGCCCCAGCGGCGCCCTCAAATCGACCCGCGCGTTGCTGCGGTGGGAAAGCGCAGTAGGTACGACCTCCATGTGGTTGACGTCCACGGGCCCCGCGAGCGGCACCTCCCGCCGCGGCTCCCACCGCACTCCCTGCGGCGCCTGGATCTTCTGGTCTGGCAAGAACCAGCCGAGCACCCGGCCCTCCTGCGGATCAAACTTCAGCCTCTTCACAGTCCCAGCCCGCCGCCCCCGCAGCCCGCCGCCAGAACTCGCAGCCTCTACCTGCAGCTGCCCACTCAGAACCTTCCCCGCGGACCGCGAACCCCGCGCCAGGTCACCGAGCCGTCGGAGCGCTCCACCGCCGCCTGCAGCATGCTGCACTCGAACTTCAACCGCAGTCCTGGCAAAGAAGACCGGCGAAAGTCAGCCTCCATGCGGCGCTGTCGAATCAGTAGCTCGACACCGTCATCGTCTTCCTCCGCCACCGCCGCCTCCGCGCCAGTCTCCGTCGCCACCGCCCACAGCACCTGCCCCAGCGACTCCGCCGCGCCGTCCCGCCTCTCGCCCGCCACGGCCGCCCACAACTTCTCCTGCTGCGCCACGGAGAGCGCCGGTGCCCTCCCTCCGGCTCCCGGCAGCGAAGACAACCACTGCCGAACAGCTTCAAAAACAAGCAGAGAGCGCCGATCCTTGAGGCGCCCCACCTCGAACGCGCCGCCGACGTCGCCCCTGCCCCCGCCACGCGCCCGGCCACCGCCGCCG